ACCCGCTGGACGATTCCCTCGGGGGTTAGATCCCCATCTGCTCGGGCTGTGATCTGCACATGGTATCCCTATCCAGCCAAGTCAGTTTCACCGCGACAGTTGCATCAGGGGAAGGAAACTCCTCACATGAAGGAACTTGGCAACTGCAGCCAGGTGGCTAGTAAAGTAACCCTTTGTTCGTTCCGGCACACCTTCTCCACACCAGCCAATGAGAACGTTTTTGGGAAGACCGGTGTTGGAATCCGTCACCTTCACATAGGCGAATTGCACCCGTCCTTCGGAAAATTCCTCGATGAGATCCGCCAATTCACCCTCTGCAGCACGATTGGTTAATATAAGATAATGGGCTTGGTTGGTAAAAAGGACTACTAACCTCCGGTGCTCTGGACCTTAAGGACACTCTCCTTACCTCCATCTTGCTGGAAGGCACTAACAAGCGGGGTAGAAACTGAGTAGACAGCCCATTGGCCATAGGTCGCAGACCCTCCGTTCCCAGAAGGGGGTGGTGCATTCACCACTGTCTGATAACTTTTTGATATCGAAGGGCCATTGGACGAGAGATTGAGAGAAGCCATGACTTTCCGGCGAATAGGCGGGGAGAAGGAAGGGAAAGCTTGTCAAGTTTCAGATGTGTCCACGTGGGAGGAGGGGTAGCTTTTTCTTTTGTTACAATATCTGTATCTCATGCAGTGTCAGCGAAAAGCACTCCAGACTGTTGGTGTTGGGGTGGGATGTAAGTTCGGGGAGGGGAATAGATAGGAGAAGGAGGGAGTTGACGTAGGTGGGCATTTGTAAACACTGACCGGGCAAAAAGGATAAAAGCAGCGGGGTTGAATGCTTTCAAGATGAGAATATCGCGACACCAAAGAAAAGGATAAGTACAGAATCAAGAGGAATATAGAGAGAAAGGTCCAGGAGAACGATGAAGCCTAAAGGTGGAGAGGAGAGACGGGAGGTTAGGGGAAAGGTGTTATAATACGATACTTCGTACTGCCAATACATGCACATGCTTCATAATATATGCAATGTATTATGTACTATGTAGTATTTAGGGAGCATCTTCACTTCGTAGATCTATATAGCTTTAGAATTTAAAGCTTGAAGATGGGTATTAATTCTAATTCAGATATTACACTCTATACTCTGTATCATATATAAAAAATCAATCGTGCAAGCCTTGTATAGTCCCAAAGCTATACATACATAGTTGGAGATGTGTCTATTTTACGTGTATTCTTGTGTATGTATTTTACAGCTCCGGGGCCTGGACTTTCTTCCCCATTCTTCACCGACAGAGAGGTGGGGAGCTTGAGCTCTCGAAGAGTTTTTTTTTCTTCTTCTTCTTCTCTCTGGTGTTCTTTGGTTTGGAGTATCCTACTTTCTAATTGTGCTAATCCAATTCTATACTGTCCGAAATCGCATTGTTGACCTTGTGTGAAACCCCAAGTTATGCAATAATCTCATCACAACCCTTCTCAGTTATACAATCCCTATTCGGTACCTGGGTACACATAGGATAGCAAGGGGTCACAGCAGTCATGGGACCTACTCAACCCGATTTCAGTGCCAGTCAGAATGCCAACGCGCCTGCTGATTCGTCCAACAATGAATCGGCCACTTCATCCCCGGGTCTCGAAGGTCCCGTGGACTCTCCTCTCCACGAAAGCTCTAATGCACTAGATCAGCCCGCAGAGGATATTTTGCCCAGAGACCAACAGCAGAAAACGGCCACCTATGACTATGCCTATGAGAAGTCCATGAGTCACGCCGAGGCAAGACTCTTCTATCAACATCATCAGCTAGCCGCGCGGAACGACACCCTGCCTTCGAGCCCAGTGGCCCCAGCCCGCTCAACATTCGAATCACGCCTTGAAGAATCACCGAACCTTTCGGATCCAATGAATAGTCAAGGCCAGATCTCTCGCGAGGGATCTATGGTGTTTGAACACGAACCCACAAAACTACGATTGCAATCCGCCAGTGAACCCAATCCCTCTGTGTCACGTTACCTCGAAGACGACCAAGACGAGGCGAACGATTCTGCCCGAAATCAGGCGGTGATTCTAGATGCTGTCCAAGGGCAGGGACCATACTCGGTGGCGGCGGCGAGTCTGCAAAGCGCCGGTGTGGGGATCGGAGGCCCTCAGGTTGCTAGCGGATATGCGTCTAGCAGTGATGCTGTCACGTCTGAGCTGAGTGCTATCTACTGCAAAATCAAGAAACTACTTGATCGGCGATCCCAGTACTTGGCGCTTTCTTTGCAGGGACCCGGAGATGATCCTAAGGACCAACCAGACTGGGAGATTTATCCTCCGCCCCCAGAACCAGCGTGGGATCATGAGAAGGAATATCACCCCGGCAACATCGGTGACCCATCTGACCTTGCAGGAAAGAAGAGGAAAATGGGCCAAGATATTGGGGAGGATTTTGACATGGAAGAATTGATGCCTCTACCCAAAGAATCGCCTTGGACGTATAGGCTGGATGGCAACAGTGTATATCAGGTCTTTGATTCTGAAACTGCTGCTGACCAACAAACACCTATTGTTCAGATCCCCTCGTTGCGCGATTTCTATATGGATCTGGACGCCGTGATCGATGTGTCGACCGACGGACCTGCGAAGAGCTTTGCGTTCAAGCGGCTGTCGTACTTGGAGGGCAAATTCCAACTGTATACGCTGCTCAATGAATACCAGGAGATGGCCGACAGCAAGAAGGTTCCTCACAGGGACTTTTACAACGTGCGTAAAGTGGATACCCACGTTCATCATTCGGCATGCATGAACCAGAAACATCTTCTTCGCTTCATCAAGAGCAAGATGAGAAAGTCCCCGGACGAAGTTGTCCTTTTCCGAGACGGAAAACATCTGACCTTGAGAGAGGTCTTTGAGAGTATTAACCTGACTGCCTATGACTTGAGTATTGATACTTTGGATATGCACGTAAGTCTCTCATCGCATCCCTTGTTTTGATGCCGAATCTTTAGAGGATGAAGGAAGATGCAGCCTAGATGCATCAACATTTCCTCTACGCTCACTCTTAAGCTACAGGTTTTACTTTTACTGACTCTGACTTCGTAGGCACACACCGACTCTTTCCACCGATTTGACAAATTCAATTTGAAGTATAATCCCGTTGGAGAATCTCGACTGCGTGAAATCTTCCTCAAAACAGACAATTACATCAAAGGTCGCTACCTCGCAGAGATCACCAAGGAAGTAATCTCAGACTTAGAATCTAGCAAATACCAAATGGTGGAATGGCGAATCTCGATCTACGGTCGTTCCCTTCAGGAATGGGATAAGCTTGCGGCCTGGGTAGTGGACAACAAGTTGTTCTCGCCTAATGTTCGCTGGCTCATTCAAGTGCCTCGTCTCTATGATGTGTACAAATCAAGCGGCATGATGGAGAACTATGAACAAGTTATCACCAATGTCTTCCAACCGCTGTTCGAAGTGACCAAAGATCCTTCTAGTCATCCTAAACTCCACGTCTTCCTCCAGCGAGTGGTGGGATTCGACAGTGTGGATGATGAAAGTAAGCCCGAGCGCCGGCTGTACAGAAAGTACCCCATCCCCCGGGAGTGGAACACCAAGCAGAATCCGCCTTACACTTACTGGTTGTATTTCATGTTCGCCAACATCGCTTCCCTCAACAACTGGCGGAAACGCCGAGGATTCAACACGTTCGTTCTACGCCCTCATTGTGGAGAGGCAGGCGACCCGGATCATCTGGCCGTCGGCTTCCTCTGCTGCCACAGCATCAGTCATGGTATCTTGCTACGCAAGGTACCCCTCCTGCAATATCTTTACTATCTGGATCAGATCGGCATTGCCATGTCACCACTCAGTAACAACGCTTTGTTCCTTACATACGATAAGAACCCCTGCGCGACCTTTTTCAAGCGAGGACTCAATGTGTCTTTGTCTACCGATGATCCATTGCAGTTTGCATTCACAAAGGAGCCTCTCATTGAGGAATACTCAGTTGCAGCGCAGATCTACAAATTCAGCGCAGTCGACATGTGCGAACTCGCCAAACATTCAGTCGACCAAAGTGGATTTGAGCTTTCCCTCAAAGAAAGATGGCTCGGCGCGAATTGTTCCCTGCCTGGAGTCGCTGGCAATAATGTTGCAAAGAGCAACGTACCAGATATTCGTGAGGCATTCCGACATGAAACATTGCTGGGAGAATGGTCCTTGTAAGTTGCCTATCGTGCCTTTGACGTCAAAGAAATGAGACTAACTGTATATCGTCTCATCAGGATCGAGCGATATGCCGACGGCAATGGGACCGGAGAACAGAAGAGCTTGGTTCCAGGTCCACCAGGGGAATCGGTGTCCTCGAATCATGGTAAATCTATCTTAAGGAATTAGGAATTATGCGGCCGACTGACTTTGAAATTCTTAGATCACAATGCACCTAACCCTGAGCCGCAATCTGAGCTAAGTTCAAGTGTAGCTGACACTACTGATGCCTCACTCAGTGAGGCCCATGGTACAGACCAGACAACCACCGCTCCGTCGACTCCATCGACATATGTAGCTCGATCACCTCGCCTTGGAACGGGTGAGTTCTCGTCTCCTGGCAGTGGAACAGGAGTCGGGGGATCAGACGGTCTGCCAGAACAGAAGATTTTCCCAGGAATCGTTCATGAGAGGGCTCGAAAGGGGACTATGCAATAGGATTACACGTGAGCGGCTTTACGTGACACATCACAGACTAAGGGGAGAGAACAAAATATTGGGGTAATTCTAATGCAAATTGGCTCCTCTATCGGTCAAGTTAAGAATTCAAGTGACCGTGACCCGGTAGTAGAGTACCACGGGCATGCTACACATGTAAAATGCCGACCTCTATCAAAAACCCAAGAACGCCTGAAGAAACAGCCACGAATTCAACATGCACCACACGCACCTCACGCACCCGTTTATGTCAATCAAACACCAATGCACGCCTCTCAACCGTAACATACAAATTAGATGTTTCAAGTACGTACTTCAAATAGCCCAGCTGCCCTTTCGTTCTGGCATTCCCCAGCCTTCAGGATTGGGATCTTCTCCAGTCATACCAGGCTCCTGCCTCGCCCATTCCCGGATGTATAGACGGAGCGCTTTCCATCGTGCACAGGCATTCGCAAGATCATCCTTGTCTGGGGCTGCAACATAGCCTTTAGCATCAGTTTTCAAGTCGTCCCGACGAAGAGCCTCGACGGGAATACCCGAGATTTTGCTGAGTTCGTAATCATAATAACGCGCAAGACAAGGGTAACCCAGAGACAAGTAATTATAAATTTGAGTCACAAATCCATCATGAAATTCGGACTCGATGACTTTCTGGAGATTAGGACTCGTGGGCTTCCAGGGACTCTGATTTCTGGGCGAGGTTGCGAGATGATTCAGATGTGTATGTGAAGGAGATGGGCTGAGTCCCATGCTAATGCCAGACTCATCGATACGAGGCATGGGGGTCACAATTCCGGGGAACAGACCGTGCCCCTCCCGCTCTTGGCCCTCGTCTTTGCAACAAGTACCCATCCAAAGACCAGAACCCTTTCCGCCGTCCCGAGGAGGCGATGCGTACCATAAGTCACCACAGCCAGCACAAAGATCATGTACACGAGAAATCGCATCGAGGCTAAAGTGGTCACATATTGTTCCCTCGGGTGAGGCGCATCGAGGAAGGACGATGTCCCTGCCAAGCATGGGCGGGCTCTTGCCATTCTTATTGAGTTGTGATGAAGATTTTCGTTTTCCAGATGCAGCCATAGCCCGGATCCTCATTTCAGCCTCCTCCTTGTGGTGGCGCATGTAGTCCAGTTCCCAAGACAGATCCGCCGAAGATTGTCGTCGGGACTTGACATGATCATAATTAGGCATATGACAATCGCCGGAATCTCCACTATCTTCCTCGATGGCGAAATGATCAACAGGCTCGTAGACTTGCTCGTTGGGAAAGGCAGCCAACGCTTGCTCCTTCAACTGGATATGTGCGGATTGAGCGGCAAGAGAGAGCAAGAATTCCGAAACCTCCCCATTGGGAGTTGCACGGAGTGGCTTGCTTGTGCATAAATCTCGTGTAACTTTATGGGAAGGCCCGGGCGGGGAAGTGCACGTTGAATGCGATCTGGAGTTGTCCGAATCTTCGCTGCTGTCAGAGGGGATCGATGGAAGATCCGGAACTCGAAACGAGTGTCTGCGAGCTTGATGTCGGCGCAGAAGATTGGAAGAAGAAAACTGAGATTCGGATGGCAGATAAGTGAGGACATGGGTATTTATATCTGACCATGATGTTGTGTCTGGGGAAATGATTGTATGGGGTGCTGGAGATCCTACGGCGTTATGCCGTTTGGGAAACGGGACAGGTTCGCTCTTTCGAACGGAGCGGGTCTCAGTTTGTATCAATTCGGGTTTGAATCTTCTTGGAGCCGTTGATGTCTGCTCAGACGACATAGAGTTCCTCTCATCTACCTCAGAAGTCGAATAAGACCGTCTCTTACTAGTCTTGCTTGTTTCAATTGGCTCAGGTAAAAATCTTCTGGTCGGTTGATGTTTACTAGGGTCGTTTGAATGTGTTTCTGGCTTTGATGGAGCGGGTTGATTTACTCCACTCAAAGCTGGCTGCTGGACGTTGGAGCTTCGTGATACGGTCTCGATTGGCTGGGGTAGGAATCTCCGAGGGACCCTTGGTTGTCCTTGACATTGTGCAAGACCAGATTCTTGTGGCTGGTATCGACTATCCAAAGAATTTGGCTGGTCCCCGTGAAGAGTAATCATATCTCGAGCGTTGTCTGTAAGTTGACTCGCCTCTCTTCCATCCTCCGTGGGCATGTTAGATTTCCCATGTGCTTCTGGTGGATGGCCCATTATCTTATCCTCAGTATCTCAGCTCTGAACCATGCTCGTATTGAATCAAGATGGTTGACAGAGCATAACCATTTTAGGGGGTTCAATTAAGGCACACTGGGTGTGTGTTATCAGTGGGTTTATTGACGGGCATGCGGGGTCGAAAGAGCGGTCTCGATGTGACTAGTAGAGAAACGAAAAGAGGCGTAACGGAATGTAATGTATCAGTTATCATGGATCGATCAAAGAGGCAAAGTAACCCGAATATGTTCAGAATGTACAGTGTATCAGAAATGCATTTTGTAAAAGAAGGGAAGTGCACATGTGAGAAGTGGAAAGTTGTGGTAAATTCCATACAAAACAGGGCACGTGCAAGTAAGTTCTCGGCCGCGGGTACCTTTTATGACATCAGCTCTTCCAGGGTTGGCTGTTACGAGATTACCATACGCGATAAGGGGGCGATAAGATAAAAGTCATGAATGTCCTCTTCGATTTCTTTTCCTATGTCTAGTACAGCAATGGAATCCACAGACAAGCGGAAGTTTGACGAGACTACAGATGATTCTCAACCTGGATCGGTCGCGAAGCAGCGGAAGGTAATCGGACCTTCTCTCCCGCCACCTCAGGAGGCCGACGCGGCGAGTGAAACTAGCAGAGATGATGATGATGACGACGACGATGATTTCGGTCCAAGCCTTCCTCCCTCCGGTCCAGTGAGCTCTGTGCGACAAGAGTCCACGGCTCCTGATATATCTAAATCGGCGGAAAAGGAAAAGGAAAACCAGCGAGATCAATGGATGCTGCAACCTCCTTCCCATTCCGACTGGTCTTCTAAGGTCGACCCTACACAACTACGAAGTCGCAAGTTCAATACAGGCAAATCAGCCACGGCATCTAAGGATCTAGATTCCTCGTGGGTTGAGACTCCAGAGGAGCGAATGAGGCGACTACAGGATGCAGTCATGGGCGTTGCTGCTTCAAAAAAACAGCCCGGGGACTACAAAGGTCCTTCAAACGCAAAGATGATGGAGGATCAAATCAAGAAATACAAGGTAATTATTGGGATATACTTTCCTCGGAAATTTCATACTTTATTCTCTCCGCGTTCTTCATTTTGTTCTAACATACGTCTTGTAGGAGATGACCGGGAAGACCACTCGCCTAGAAACCCAAGCTCAGGCACCGGAAGAAGAGGATGATCCAAGTGCGCGCGCATTTGACCGAGAGAAGGATATGGCAGTTGCTTCGAAGATATCCAGCGCGCAGCGCCGGGAGATGGTCAAGAAGGCAGCAGATTACAACACACGTTTTACAAAGGGCAGCTTCTTATAGCCATATTTCTTGTTTATAGTTTGAATACCCAAGACTTTAGGAAAGATTACAAAAAAAGACAGGCCGCTTATGCGGCAGACCATTTTCATCACTAAATTATGCATATCTTTCATACGGAGAACGGAGAACTCTGCGATCTAATCTTCGCCCGGTTATCCGGCTGACTCGGAGTGGCCAAAGTGCGGGTTGTGTCAACCAATCAACGTCGCTGATATTCACCTTAGTTATCCTCCTCCCTAATTCCCTTAAATTCCACCTCTGGATATTCCGTTGTTCCTACTCATCTGTCGTCTGTCTTTCTCTCAACCATGTCTTTCTCAAATCTGGTCTCCGATATTGCCTTCCGTGATGCTCGTGTGGATGATGGCAGCTCCCAAATCTCCCATGCCCGATCTCAGATGTCTCGTGCGACCGCTCGGTCGTATGCCAGCACCGCAGCCACAAGCATAAGCATTTCTGGCGAAGTCTCTAGCCAGCTACATGCTGGCTACAGTCATCCTCTGACCAGAGCATGGCAGGCCGATAGGCAATTAACAAAGGTCCGCCCTCAATGATGTTATGAAATCCATAATATGACACACTTAATCGCACTGGCAACTCGTCGCTAATACATTATCTCTGCAGGATATGCTTATCTATCCCTTGTTCGTCACGGACAACCCGGATGAGGAGACATCGATTCCTTCGTTGCCCAATCAACATCGTCGTGGAATCAATCGCCTGGTTCCTTTCCTTGCCCCCCTTGTTAGAAAGGGGCTGCGCTCGATAATGCTGTTTGGCGTTCCGCTCCACCCGTCCGCCAAAGATGCACTGGGAACCGCCGCAGATGACCCCGATGGTCCTGTGATTAAAGCCATTCGTCTTCTCCGATCTCGTTTCCCTCAGCTTTATATCACAGCCGATGTGTGCCTTTGCGAGTACACATCGCACGGTCACTGTGGTATCCTACGAGAGGATGGAACCCTCGACAATGGGCAATCCGTTGACCGGATTTCCGATGTAGCTGTTGCCTACGCGGCAGCCGGAGCTCACTGCGTCGCTCCATCAGACATGAACGACGGAAGAATCCGAGCGATCAAGCTCAAGTTGATTGAAGCCGGTTTAGCCCACCGTGTACTTTTGATGTCTTACAGTGCCAAATTCAGCGGCTGCTTATATGGACCGTTCCGCGACGCGGCTGGCTCCTGCCCCTCATTCGGAGATCGCCGGTGCTACCAGCTTCCTCCGGGCGGCCGCGGTCTTGCCCGACGTGCGATACAGAGAGACATGGCCGAGGGTGCAGATATTATCATGGTAAAGCCAGCCAGCAGTTACCTTGATATCATCCGGGATGCCAAAGATTTGGCACACGATCTTCCAGTGGCCGCCTACCAGGTCAGTGGTGAATTTGCAATGATTCATGCCGCTGCCAAGGCCGGTGTCTTCAATCTCAAGGACATGGCCTTCGAGAGCACCGAAGGCATATTGAGAGCAGGCGCCGGGATCGTGATCACTTATTTCGTCCCGGAATTCCTCGACTGGCTTTAGTTGTTTATTCAACTTGATTTTAACTGCTACATTTCTCCACTCCAAAAGTGCGATTTTCGGGCCTCATATTTTCCGTGCGATTACCATGACTGCATTTCTACATCTGACATCTATCTATGGTGGGTCTGATGTATTGAATATACAATGCTACTTGAAAACTGGATAGATTCCCCTTACGCGATATGATGTTTTCTTTTCTGTGTGTTAACGATTACCCTTTATTACAATGTTATTAATTTCTTCTTTTTCGGTGCAACCGGCCTCGGGATAGTGTAGCAGATGTTTGATTTCCAATCGACATTAAAATATGTAGCAGAATCGAGATTGGATTGAGGTAAACAGGCTAAATAATGCAGAAACATTGTGTATAAACTGCAAGATGACCCCGATTCGCCGCACAGAACGCTAATACCATACAAATTAAACGGAAACCATTCGTCAGGGACAGTGGATATCGAAATCAAAGACAAGATCAGTAAGAAAGAGACGAAATAAATAAAATCGAACCGGAGGAAGAAATCCATGCGAGTCATAATTTTGCTCTCCCACATATAGGCGTGAGTAGACCAGCACCGTAGCGTAAGGTAATTGGACATTTATACACAAATCAAAAACACGTCACTTCGTTCACATAGCAAAGCTGGGTTTTGACCCCTGAAACATGTAACCTGCAATGTTCGTGTTGACAATCTCTCCCGGGGCGACGTAAACCCCACGAGCAAGACGAACTCCGGGGTAGATGATGCAGCCCGCGCCCACATAGCAATCTTCTTCGATGATGACCTGACGGCCTTGGTACCGACTTTGCGAGCCTTTGCGCTCTTGCATGTTGGGATGAGCGGTTGAACTAATTATTTTGACGTTGGGGCCTATCCACGTATGGGCACCGATGCGGATAACACAGTCATCCACAAACAGGCAATTCTCCGAGATCATGACATCTTCCCCGATATGAATATTATAACCATAATGGCAACTAAACGGAGCTTCGACGACGGCCCCTTGGCCGATAGACCCGGCAGAGCGAGGCGCGTTGCTTCCGGCTGGGGGATTGACAATGGAAGATGCCGGGGGTACGATGATCTCCTTCAGCAGGCGGTTTTGCTCTTTCACACTGACGCCGGTGAGCGGATTGCAGGCGTTGTTGAATTTCCACAGTGCGCCTCGGCAACGATCTCTTTCCTCCACGAGGTGGACGTCAAAGGGTCGGTAGAGTTTGCCGTTGATCATCTTTTCCTTCTCGGTCTCATCGCTCGGGACGGTACGGCCCGAGAGCTGATGCTCGATGCTGAGTGCCATCCGAGCCTGCGCCTGCGGACTATGGGTGTCCACAGTTGCCGCGGGCAATGTTCGCTGCTCATTTTGGAACAAGGGCATATTGGATTTAGGATGAGATGGATGACTGAGGTCTCGAAGTGAGGACATGACCGGATAGTCAGGTTTGGGACGTCCCTCCCGCGATAGCTCATGGATGGGTGGGACTTCCCGGTAATCGACGACTTTTGCTATGGATTCGGATGGATAAGCGGGGAGACCGGCATTGGACCCGGACCCCGGGCCGGCGCCTGGCCAAGCTTGTTTTGACCACGCATGGTTGGATGGTGTATGCGTTGGGCTGGTGTTGTATTGTTGAACAGGGCGGTCATTATCCTCCACCACTAGAGGCCTGATTTTGGTCGCGTCGACATGTTCCACTAAGTTGGGTTGTCGCTCTTGCTGTCGGGGTACTTCTTGCATATACAAGCCATTGATGTCTGAATAGCCTTCTTTGGATTGCAAAGGGATCGGGGTTTTTGTACTAGATGGCTTTTGCCAGGTGCTTCGGGATGAATAGCCTTCACACAGGAAGCCGCCACGAAGACAGTTGTTGCCTACAATGCATCATTAATGTCGCTCTTTCGGTAGAATTTGGACAGGGAATAATTTGTACAGAAAAGAACGTGGGAATTAGAGCCATTAGGAGTTGACTTACATGCCGGATGTTGCTCGTCGCATTTCTTTTTTCTGCGACGGCAGGTCATACAGCCCGTCTTCGTTCGGTTACTAAATACCCGCTTCCTCTTTGGAGCCACCTGCATTGCCCCATGTCGATCTGGTGCATAACTAGGAGAGGATGGCTGCTGAGCGCCCGGGGTCGAGCGATTTGTCATAGATCTTTCCTGACCTGTCTCGCGTTGAAGAGCGTCTGCTAGGTGGGCATCCGATGCATCCATTTGCTGGGCCCGTTGGGCCTGGGTGATCAGCTGAGAATCATATTCTGACCAAGGACTATTGGCGGAGGTCTGGCCCGCATCATTGCCCTCGGACCGGTGAGATGGGGTTGCCGAATGATTACCACGCTCCATCTCCGAGGTCGATCCTGGCACGCTGCCATTCGGATTGGTTTGGTTGCTCTCGGCAGGACGGGTCACCGGACTCCTGGAGGCGTTCACGGAATCTCGTCCTCGGGACTCTGATCTCTTTCTCTTATTCTTGTTGTGAGAGCCACTGGGGGAAGATCTTTGTGACCACTTCTCTTGGTCATTGGCAGGATCATCCCGGTCATCGCGGTGACTAGGATCTGAGGTGGTCTTTTCTTGGGTCGGCGCACGTTCTCCATTGGGGACGGAACTGGGAGGTGGACCATTCCCATTTCCATTTCCATTTCCATTTTCATTCCCATTTGCATTGACAGGAGCCACCGTTTCTCTGCCATTAACTGCAGTAAATCGGGATGGGCTGTGTTCCGTCCCCGTTTCGGCCCCAGAGTCGTGAGTACCAGTCATGACGGATGCAGCAAGAGCCGTCATTGTATAAGCCAAGAACCAGAAAGGAGAAACCCGAGACCACGAAGAACAGGGCTGAGGTTACACCGAGAGGTGTAAGAAACTATTCAAGTAAAGGGCGGATATAGGCAAGAGTTGTAGCTCAATTGCCAAGCAATCGCCCCCAAATATGAGGGATAGTCTCAACACGCAGAGACCCAAAGCTTTCAAGGTTCCTCAAATACTTCCAATATCTTAATCAACAGCTCTGTGTTGGGGTTGTTTGCGCGGAATTGCAAGTTAAGTCACCCGCGGGTGGGGCGAGGAGATCGGGAGATTATCAGAGATAGTATACAAGATGGGTTGAAAAAAAGAGCATTCAACCAAGTGGCTTTTTTTAATAGAAAGAGAGATAAAAGAAAGGATATCAATGAGAAAGAAGTAGCCAAGGGCTCAAATATATAGAGTAGACAGAGAGAGAGAGATAGGTAGAGAGAGAGAAAGCCAAAGGTGAAGGAAGAGACGGAAAATGGGGGAGACGAGGGAGGGGGGAAAGAGACTAATAAAAGAGAATGGGGAAAACACCGAGCTAGGACCCTCTCACTCTCTCACTCTCTCTCTCTCTCTGGCAAGAAAAGTACAAATAAATAATAAATAATAAAAAAGAGTAATCTCCAATAACTTGACAGCAAAAAAGAGGGAAAGGGGAAGTTGGCGCGCGATCGGCAATGACGGCGTCACACGCAGCACCAATCGGAGAAGCGATCAGCCGTGTCCTAGTGAGGCGCGGGTCTGAGACATGGCCCATCCGCTTTGGACTCTTTTCTGCGCGCGTTCCCAGTCTCTTCCCCTCTCCGATTTCTTTTTTGCCCACATTCGCCATTGCCGCCCGTGTACGCGGTGTCCCGCGTATAAGGGCGGTTATGCGCTTAGGGAGACGTCGACTTTTGGTGCCTTTTTTGAGATGGATTTAATGGCACCGTGGTATTGAATTTTCGCCTTGAAATAATATTCTGTTCCTTCCCCCTAATTCTTCCCAACACCCGAGTTTTTCAAGGACCTGGCGCCCATCTCGGGAATTATTGATGACTGCAGCGTGCCGCGGCGCTAGGACCAAATCACTAGAGGAGTCGGCTGAGCACGGATACCTCATGGGCGCTTTGAGTGAGTTTACTTTTCTTTGTTTTAATCCCAACTTCATATTCTGGACGGCGTACGGGGTATACTTTCATCTATTATTATACCGATTCGCAGCATACGGAGTATACGGAGTATATGGGATATGTCTATAGATATTATACATTAGGTGTGTATAAATTGTTGGCACCTGATTCAGCCCAACTCTCAGAATCCCATCACTATCACTATCACTTTTCGCATAAAAGCACCTGTCATAAATATAAAAAATAATAAATATCCAATGTGATATCAGTGCAGTGTACAGTCGTTGGCCGGTGATTATACTGGGTAAATGATCCCTGGGCGGTATCCCCGGGCGGTGGGGGATCGCATGCTGACTAAGATCTCAACAGAGGGATCAAGTTCAAACATCCAACGCGCTCTCACCGCCAGAGTCTACGATAGCTTCCTTTTTTGACCCCCAATTTTCCTGCCTGTTTTTTTTACTGCCTTCAGAGTCTGGTAAGTCTTGACCTGGATTCACCTCCTCTAGTCCCCCGTCCAATCATTTCTCATCCTGACATCGTGCTGATCCCCCAACCCCTCCAAAGGATCTCTACCCCACCGAACACACTTGCTTCTTATTCCCCTCTATCATTTGATACTGCCCTGCAGCCGCCCTGGCAATACCATAACCTGTCCAGGCGGTTCCCATCATCCTCCCCTCTTGACTCTCGTGTCTCAAACCCTATTCCGTCATCAGAGGCGATATCGCCAGTCTGCGCCGAGATGTCGATTTCGGTACAAGAGCTGGACAACACGGTCCGAGCTTTGTTTGAAGGCAAAGGTGCCGTGGTAAGTCGAACCTGTCTCCTCTACACGGCTTGGGTCGCAGAATTCATGGAATCTGTGTATCCTCCGTGGAGCTCTGGGGACACCAACACTGACATTGAGAACCGTCTAGCAAAACCAAGCACAGCAGACTTTGACAGAAGTAAGCGCATAGCCCCTCCACAACGTCATATGAATTGAACACTAATAATCCCTGTGCTATTAGTTCAAGCAAAATCCCGATGCCTGGGTCACCGTGGGCAACATCCTCCAAGAGGCTTCATACCTTCAAACCAAATGTGTGTCTTGAGTCTTTGGCAATCTCCCTTGTGCCTGGAAATGCCTGGGAAACACTTGCTGATTTTCACAGACATTGCTCTCCAAGTCTTAGACAATGTGATTATGACCCGATGGAAGGTTCTACCAAGAGACCAATGTCAGGGTAAGAACTACATGCATTGACCTCGTCGTTTTACCTCCCCATACTAAGAACGTTCTTCATAGGTATCCGCAATTTTATTGTGCGATTCATTCTCGAAAACTCCGAATCCGAAGAGAAGATCCAAGCGGAGCGCCCTCTGTTGAACAAGCTCAATCTCGTTCTTGTCTCCATTTTGAAGCAAGAATGGCCGCACAACTGGCCCACCTTCATCAATGAGATTATTTCCTCTTGCCATGCCAGCCTTTCGATCTGTGAAAACAACATGACAATTCTCCGTCTGTTGTCGGAAGAAGTCTTCGATTTCTCGCAAGACCAAATGACCTCTGCCAAGGCACGGAACTTAAAGACCTCTATGACCTCGGAATTTGCATCGATCTTCCAATTGTGCTCCGAGGTTCTCAGCACTGCCAACCAGCCCAGTCTGGTGAAAGCGACCCTCGAAACTCTCCTTCGATTTCTGAACTGGATCCCGTTGGGCTACATTTTCGAAACCCCCATCATCAATACCCTCCTCACCCGATTCCTAGGAGAACCCGAGTTCCGAAATGTGACTTTGAAGTGTCTGACTGAGATTGGTGGCTTGCAAATTGGCGCTCCTTACAACTATGACGAACGATTGGTGCACATGTTCACCGAGACCCTGACCACCGTTTCCAATGTCATTCCTCTGTCCTTGGACCTGAAGCAGACGTATGCCATGAGCAATGGACGAGACCAAGAGTTTGTATCAAACTTGGCCTTGTTCCTCTCGAGCTTTTTCAGTGCTCACCTTGATGTATGCTCCCTTTTCCTTTAACCATGTTTTTTTAGTCTGTTTGATGCTAACCTTTTCCTTCTTTTATAGCTTATCGAAAAGTTGCCTAATCAAGATTACCTCACGCACGCACATTTCTATCTGATTCGGGTCAGCCAGATCGACGATCGGGAGGTGTTCAAGATTTGCTTGGACTACTGGACAAGACTCGTGCAGGAACTTTACGAAGAGATGCAGCAGCTCCCAATCACCGACATCAACCCGCTGGTCTCTATGAGCGTTAGTGGTTTGGCGAACGGTGGTGCCCCCAATCCTACGACCCTAGCGAACTACCCATTGCGCAAGCACAAGTACGAGACTGTGTTAACAAACCTTCGCACCGTGATGATCGAGAAGATGGTCCGCCCAGAGGAGGTCTTGGTTGTGGAAAACGATGAGGGTGAAATTGTGCGCGAGTTCGTTAAGGAGAGTGATACCATCCAACTTTACAAGACGATACGCGAGTGCTTGGTCTACCTGACCCATCTTGATGTGGTCGATACGGAGACTATCATGGTGGATAAATTGGCTAAGCAAGTTGATGGAACCGAATGGTCTTGGGTGAACTGCAACACGCTATGCTGGGCTATTGGTTCGATCTCTGGAGCCATGAACGAGGAAACCGAGAAACGTTTCCTGGTTACCGTAATCAAGGATTTGCTTGGCCTCACAGAGCAGAAGCGCGGGAAGGACAACAAAGCTGTGGTGGCGAGTAACATCATGTACATCGTGGGACAATACCCCCGGTTCTTGAAGGCTCACTGGAAGTTCCTGAAGACGGTCGTCAACAAGTTGTTCGAGTTTATGCACGAGACGCACGAAGGTGTCCAGGATATGGCTTGCGATACGTTCATCAAGATTGCCAACAAGTGCAGACGCCATTTCGTGGCACTTCAACCTGGTGAAAGTGAACCTTTCATCGAAGAAATTGTACGGAACATGAGGAAGATCACCATGGACCTTTCCCCGCAACAGATTCATACCTTCTACGAAGCTTGTGGCTACATGATTTCGGCTCAAGGTCAAAAGGGTCTCCAAGACCGATTGACTGAAAACTTGATGGCGCTCCCTAACACCGCCTGGGATCAGATTATCGCGGAGGCAAACCAAAACCCGGCGATTCTCCAAGACGCCAACACCATCAAGATTGTCGGAAACATCATGAAGACTAATGTCGCAGCTTGCTCCTCGATTGGGACCTACTTTTATTCTCAAATTGGTCGGATCTATCACGACATGTTGAATATGTACCGTGCTGCCAGTCAGCTGATTAATGATGCTGTTGCAAGTGATGGTAACTAATCCAATTCACGCTGACGGACACCGAATTTCTTACTGACACAAAAATAGGAGCTATTGCACCCAAAACCCCCAAGGTCCGAGGACTTCGGACCATCAAGAAAGAGATCTTGAAGCTCATTGACACCTACGTGGACAAGTCAGATGACCTTGAGATGGTCAATGCCAGCATGGTACCGCCGCTCATGGAGGCTGTACTGATCGATTATGCCCGGAACGTCCCCGATGCACGCGAGGCTGAGGTCTTGAATGCCATGACTACGATCATCCACAAACTTCACGTATGTTTTTCGCCCTGCTGATTATTGGTGCCCTTATTTGATAGCCTGCTAACATGTCAATCAGAATCTGATGGAGGATAAGATTCCAGCCATCATGGACAGCGTTTTCAACTGCACTCTTGAGATGATCAACAAGGACTTCCACGAATATCCTGAGCACCGGGTCGAGTTCTTCAAATTGCTTCAAGCTGTCAACCTGTACTGCTTCCAAGCACTTCTGAAGCTCGATGCTGCGCAGTTCAAGTTTGTCATTGATTCATGCATGTGGGCGTCGAAGCATGACAACCGCGAGGTGGAGAACACTGGCCTTACGATGTGTTTGGAGCTGATGAACAACATGGCCGAAACTGACCAGCAAACCTCGAGCATTTTCTTCCGCGAGTTTTACATTCCAATTCTTCAGGATGTCTTCTTTGTCCTCACGGATAGTGACCACAAGGCTGGTAAGTAATGTCCTTTGTCCGGATATGAAGCAAGAAGCTAACAATCCGATTTTTTAGGATTCAAATCCCAGGCCATGCTTTTGTCGCGCATGTTCTACTTTGTGGAATCAGGCAAAATCCAGCAGCCTATCTACTCCCCCGAGCAAGCCCCGCCTGGAACTTCAAACAAAGAATTTTTGCAGGAGCACATCGCAAATCTGCTACACAATGCATTCGGCAATCTCCAAGAGTAAGCTCCCTCGGCGTCGGTTGAAACCATGCAAGAGTATACTAACTTTCTCCACCAGAGCACAAATCAAGCAGTTTGTTATTGGGCTGTTTTTATACACTGATGACCTAAACAAATTCAAGACTCACCTTCGTGATTTCTTGATTTCTCTGAAAGAGTTTTCCGATGACAACGCGGAGCTGTATGCGGAAGAACGAGAACAGGCGGTGCGTGATGCCCAGGTTGCCGAGCGTGACCGAGCTATGAAGGTCGGAGGGCTGTTGAAGCCATCGGAGATGGATCAGGAGGATGAGCTATGACTGGACGAAGAACTGCGTACCGAATTTGTTGTTGCCTCTACTGGTTCCCCTGGGCATGAGCAAGAATCAAGGTTGACCTCTCAGAACGACAGCCTTGACGGCTGGTCCTTCTACGAGCTCTAGCTCATGGGAAGTTATGTGCCGCTACAACAAAGGAAGCATTGCTCTGGAAAGATGTGTGTGAATCTATTCTTTTATCTTTTCTTTTTATCCCCCTTGGTTGGCTATCGGGCATGCGAGAGACCCCTTCCCTGTCTGAGCGGGTTCTTTGAGGTTGGTGCATCAACACGGAACGGATTTACCCATTTTGTCCTACGTGTTCTCTGCCTATTCAGGCGCGAGCTTGTTTGATAGCTTTTAACGTTAAATGATTAAAAAAAATCTCCAATCAAAAGATACAAGAATAATTGGCCGCTTGTGGCCTTGTCATCTCTTTATGGTAGTTAGAGTTTGTTTAGGTATCTTCCTTCTCTGATCTATAGCTAGACGATGAAAAAGGCGAAAATGACTGTAAACCGTACAGACATTTCTAGTATAAGCCGGGACATACTGGAACCGTCGCTTCCTACGCGACATATCGTACGTTAATGTGGGGAGATCGGAAGGCGGTGAATCCTTATCAGTTGCATCATCAGAAAAAGTAGCCCCCGGGCCGCCTTCGCGGTGATTCTATTCTACGATTCTTTGATTCCTTGACTCTCTAAGCCACATCACTCTATTCCATCCCCATCACAATGTCTCGAACACGCCAGCCAATTGCTTCAAATTCATTCCAAACCACGACAGAGTCCTCAGACTCCTCAACAGCCCACTTCCCCCCAACCCTCAGGCTACGAGCCGAGGAAGCAACTGACACCAGCGAAGCAACATCGTCATCCCGGCGAATCCGATGGAGCGAAGATGTCATAGACAACGAGGGCATGGGCAAAAAGAGCTCAAAAGGTAAGGATATCATACATCTACATCTATTCCATCTACCCGCAATGACTCCCCAAAACCACCAGCAACAATCTAACCGCCACCAGTATGCTGCATCTACCACAAAGCCCGCCCAGTGGGAGAAAGTAGCTCAGAAGAGTCCTCATCCAGCTCATCCGAAAGCGAGAGCGAGAGTGAAGACGACCGTCGCACTGCCAGAGTCAACCGGGCTCGCCGCGCACACCCACACTCCGGAGACCGGGAACCGCACGACGAGCACGAAGGGTGTTGTCCTGAGGACCACGGCTCAAAACCGAAACGCAGTCGCAGGAAGCCGAGTCCGAATGCATACGAGAAGATGCCTAAGCCGTCGAAGAGCCAGAGTCAGAATCAGAATGAGAACCAGGCGCGGGGTACTTGATCTTTATTTTATGGGGGGGTGGCTTTTTGATTGGCAAGGAAATGCAATGCGTGATAAGGCGGAACTGGGAAATGCCTGGGGATTCTTGGTTGGGTTTGGTTTGGGTGCCCGATGCACGGCCAGACGAATCATCTAGGGTTGTATTTCGCCATGTCTATGCGCGGTGTGTATGACATTTGCACGACGCTGGGACGGAGACACCCCATCCGGTCGGTGGCATGCAGGAAAATGTACAATGGCATGATCGAAGAGTCAAGGGAGGACATGCCGAATCCATTTCCGGCGCGCCGCATTGGGCGTGGCGGGTGAATGGTCACTGCAAGAACTACTTGGTCTACTTGAAACAGATAGAGGGAATTGGGTAGACAAGTTAATGAAATTTGTATTAAGAAGATGTGGAACGCAGTGAGGGGGTATCTGAAACATAGCTGCAGCCCGGTCCGGGCTATAATGATTGTACTCCGTACATAGGCAAAGGATAAAGAAATCCTGTTCCGAAACGCTAAAGTGGACTTTATACCATCATGCTTTTTCTCCTTGCAGCAACACGCTGGCCACGTCTGACATCGCTGTCCATTGTAGAACCGTTTGGCCCCGGTCCAAATGAGTCTTCATCTTCTGGAGAGTCGCCGTTTGGGGATTGTGGTTCACCCTGGTCCGTGTCGTATTGTGCCATGTCTGCAGTTGTATTTTTGGGGTTTGACGAGTGACGTCGAGGCTGACGCCTCGAATTCAATGGTTTTTGTGATACTTGGGCCGAGATATCTGCGAGGCTATCCTCAATCTCTTTCTTGAGGCCAGAGCTTGGTTTCCCCACATCGGGGTCGTCCTTTGGGGCTGACGACGCCTTGCGTTTTCTCCGGGAGACCATTGCTAGCAACTGATCTGAGGATTCATCCACGGTAAACAGATCTGAGCTCTGCGCCGCAAGAGTGAAATCAGCAGGGAGAGTACCATGAGACTGGGTGTTGCCGCCCTCTCCGTCCAAACTTTCCCGGCCTGCCTGGAAACTGGAGGATCTTCGCGATCCAAGTGCAACAGCATCGATCATTTCCTTCGTAGGGCGGCGCATCTTGTCCCGTAGGTTAGGCTCTGCATAGCTAACCACAGCACCACGACGTCGTGAATGCCGAGTGGCAGACTCTTCCTCCGTCTTCATTGTATTCGGATGCGGTGACTGTTCTGGCTGGCGTGAGGCAGGCTCTTCCACCTGGGGAGGAGCAGGGCGAGCGCGCTTTTCTTTGTTTGAAGAGGCGCTTCTGGACACTCGCGGCTTTTGATTGACAGTGTTACCACTGAGTTTGTCGACATTCTTAACTTTCTGTGGCGAGTTGCTATTCTCGTCGCCCTTGGTGGGCCTTTGCATAAGCTTAGAGTCCTGGTACGAAGACATGCGGGCCTTCTTCGGAGAGCCTAGATTGGAATTTGCACTCTCTGTTCTAATTGTTAGCTACACTCATTGTAGAGATGAGAAAGTAGAACATACTTGGCTCGAGGACCCTCCGCATAGATAGAACGGGGGTTCTTGATCCTCTTGTTAGTTTGACATGGCTTTGAGTGGGTGACTGGTCTCGCTGTGTATCTTCGAATGGGATCGTTTGCTTTTTTGGGGTATGGCTGGGCCGGGTGAATTGGAATTCGTCGTCGTCGACATCAAGGTTGGAAGTGAACCTGTCATCGTCTTCGGGTACGTATTTTCGCTTCGTTGAAACCGATGTTGTGTGCTGTGTTGTATCGATGGGTGGACTTGGTTGCCGATCTGTTGGCGGGGGGCTAATTTCAGGCGCAACGATCGAACTCGACCTCTTTTTCTTCTTGCGTGTCTCGAGAGTTGGAGGAAATGATGGCTCGGGTTCTTCGGGTATATCGTTGTTTATTTCGGTCCTGAATGTTGATTCTGGTGGTGATGGGCTTGAATTTTCGATGAGTGCATCCCCTTCCTCCGGCATAAAGCTGAATCGAGGAGGGGAGTCTAGAATACTTTGGTCGTCTTGGAGCAGGCTGTCAAGCTCTTGGGGCCTGAATAAGATGTTAGCAATTTGGAATGACCCAAAATCTCGAAGATTCTTACTCCAGAGTCCGTCGAGGGTAATATTTGTCCTCAACAATGGCAGGAAGCCTTCCATCTTCGCCTTCCATGTCTTCTGTCCTAGGTCTCGACTCTGCCGCCTGTTTTGGTCTATCGAACTGTGTGTCGCAGAGCTTGCCCACCTTGCGGGGTAATGAGCCCAAATCTGCGGCCAAATTGCTCAACTCGGCTAGTTTGGCATCTAGCTTGGATTTGATGTCGTATATTCCATTGTGCAACATTTTCCCCGCTTCCAGTCGTTCGGTTTCCCGGGTAAGATTGATGACCTGTTTTCGAAGCGACACATTTTCCGAAATTAGATGTGATACTTCTGACTCTAGGCTGCGAATACGAAGAGATTGCAAGGAATTCACTCTCGCGATCTCCCGATTTTGTCGCACAAATCGTCGCTTCACTGGATAGAAAACAAGGAGGCCATATGTCAACTGCTAGCTCAAATTTTGTAGTATAGTAGTAAATTGCACGACTTACACGCTTCAATGGACTCAGCAGGAGCCGCATAGTCATTCAACCGAGCCATGGCCTAGGCTGGAGGGGATAGCGACCACCGCGTAATCAGACGGATTGAGAGACAATCCTGGTGTGCAGATGGAATGAACTTGAATTTGATATCGAGTCCACAGAGTACACACCAGGAAATGACGTGTGTTGGGGCGAGTCGTGAGTACGGGGATACGAAGAGAGACGAGAAGGTAAACAGCGACGAATGCCAAGCCCTTGTTGACGTTTGTCCGCATTTGGTTTAGCTTGCCCGTTCAGTGTTTGGATGACTCAGCGCCCCTCCCAGCCTGGAGCCGGGGTCATTTAGGCAGCTTACTTTGTAGAGTTATCCAACAGCCCTAGAGGTACAGACTTTGACAGATCGCGTTCTTCACACCTCGTACCTGTGTTGTCGTTCCGCTCGCTACACATCTCCCACAATGGCATACTCCTCACGGCCAAGCTCAATGCTTCCAGGCGCTCCAGGTGGCTCATCTATGCGCCAGCCCGGTGGTTCGCAATCGCAGCAATCTTCGGCACTGTCGGCCCGCATTGCAGCCAAAAAAGCCGAGCTGGAGAACCTGCGAGAGTTACGCGATCTGAGTGGAACCTTGGCGATTCAGATGCAAGCTTTGGATAATAAGATCTCCACGTTGAAAGATGGCACCGAAGGTTGGCCTATCTGTTTCTATTCGAAGGGCTGATCGCTAACTACCTGTTTTAAGCTGTTGCGTACGTGCTTTCCAACTGGGATAATGTTCTCAGGGCCATCACTCTGGCTTCGAGTAAGCGCTATTTTCTTACATTGGAATTCTACAACTGGTACTGATTTTATCCTGTAATAGGCAAAGCAGGCGGACTCTACGAACCCGAGTCGGATAGTAAGAATGTGGAAAAACGAAACGATCCTCGCCTGCCATCCACGCTGGTTCGCATTCCAGCCGAGCCACGTGATAAGACTGGCGAGTGAATCAGTCCCTTCGACTTCAGCCACCCGGCTGAAGCACCCTGGATGATATCATCTTTTGCGGCACACCCGGATTATTTGTGGCTGAAAGTTTGATAGGTACCCCGTGGGTTCGCGATATTCTCCGGTTATCTTCGCGCTCATGTGTATCAGGCTACGTAGGACGGCGTACAGAATCGGCGATTGCCTTTGAGAATGCACTCGGACCTACTTGGCTCCTGTCACAGCCAATGAGCGGCCTTGCCCTCGAAAAAAAACACTATCAGAAGAGGCGAGTTCATGGAGGCCCAATCATGGGACTTCTCGTCATCTGTCGCAGAAAGCGCGATTTAACTGAGAATCCACGAGAATCCGTTTCTCGCGTGACCAGCTATGCAGAGTTTGGCGCATGCAATAAAGATTGTTATCTCGAAATGGCAGACAAATCAGAAGACAGGGATTAAGGAGATCATTTATTTTTCCCCCTCAGTTTAGTTCCTTTTGAAACTTCTGCACTACTGCAAAGATCATCATTGGTACCGGAATAGATGCACAGCAGGGAAGATGAATGGACGATGATGTGATTGGCGGGTAGAGGGTAGCTCACCATGTACCCTGCGTACTATCCAAGGGGATAGTTACAAGTTAATAGAGTCTAAGTTTTTCTTCCGGCATCATGAGACGGGACGCAGAGCTAATGGCGCTATGATGCCGATCCGCAGAAAAGTCTTATTACCAGTTCGAGGTTCCTGCAGATTTTAGGGGCAAAAAAGGCGAACAGACTCTCTAGCGTGTGTTTTAGTGTCTCTCTAGTGGCTAGTTAGGGGCCTACACAGGTACGTCTCCGGAGTGGTTATCACGTATTTCAGGCCATTGGTACCTGAGGGGGTACTTGGGGCAGAAGTACCTACTTATCGGTTGATTGCTGGATAGCTGATAGAACTATATAACGTTATAAGAAGTGCGATACCTAGATATCAAGTACCCCCATCCGTATCCTGCGTATCATCTTCCAAGGTTCTTTTCCTTAAGCGCCCCAAGCACGACTAAAATCCAAGCCCCCTCTTTTCCCTGAGCACAACGTGCCCTTCGGATTCGACATGCGCGATTATCTTTCCCCGCAATAGCCGTGTGGCTTTTGCACTTTGGCCGCTGCATGTATTTATATCGATTTGTCTTTCCTCATTCCATTGCGTGGTATGGCATGATCGCTGTGTGACACTTCAACAATGTCAAGTTTGATGAGGTGATCTTTAGGCTTCTTTACATCTTACCTTTCTTACTTCCGGACTTTTGAGCTTTGATCTTTCCATTCTCTTCTATATACAATCCTCATTATCCTCACTATCTCTAAATCTAAATCTCTCAATCTTGCAACCTTGCAACCTTCAACGTTACAACATTACCATACAACATTACATCCAACTTCAATTTCTTGCTTTACCTACCTCAACCCGAGAACATACATATACAACCATGTCCACTGAATGGTCTTTGGACTTCTGCCTTGTCTGTGACCGTCAGACCTTGGGCGCTCCTTACTGCTCTCAAACGTGCCGCCTAGCCGAACTGGATGAGACATCCGATGGAATGTCACGAAGATCGAGCGCATCGTCTACACATTGGTCTGAGATCAACCAGGCCCAAGCTCAAGTCGAGGCCGTCAATGCCCACCCCCTTCGAAAGCTATCTGCCTCCTCCTCTCAAACCTCACTCTCTTCGCTCAAGAGCAACACCCCCAATTCTCCCAATTCCCCCAATGTGGCCGATCGGCTCCAGGATGAATTGCGTGATTATGCATCTTGCTTCGACCAAGTCCGCGACCTGAAACGGCGCATGACCACCACATAATTTCAATTTCAATTCGAACCCAAACTCAAACTCGAAAACTGGGCTTCTCGAGCCCATCCTCCCACATCTGGTGGTGCCGAGGGTACCCAAATGCATGCAGCCCTCATGCTGCTTTTCTGCTTTCTGCTTTCTGCTTTCTGCTTTCTGCTTCTGATCATTTGCATACACGGAAAAGAGGCGTTGTTTGAAAATATACATTATTGCGTCTATGTTTACGGTTGTTCTTTCTGTTTTTGTGGATCAGCCTTCCCACTTGGTCTTTCTCACGAACCTATACCCCCCCAATTGTTATATATATCATGATCATCGGAAGGAGTTGAATCCAGGCTCAGGTGCCTCACCTAATTAGTTATCTACCAGATTGCCTATAATCAAATTGGAATTATGGTTGATATTTTTAAGAAAAAACATCTTGATGTCTTTAGTAGGTCTCTACCAAAGCCCAATTCGTATCCCCCATTGGGTAGGTTAAGTGCGTCATGTCAATTTCCCACGTCAGTCAATGTGGGGACCCTGAGGAATGTACCCGATGTTAACCGTCCAACCGGGGAATGCTAGATATATCAATTAGAACCACTCCTCGACCCATCGACAACACACCAAATCTGTATGGAGCCAGCAATTCGAGATGCAAGCGCAAGCACAAGCTCTAGCCCAGGACCGCCATATACCCTTTGAACATCCCACGGCCGGATTCGGCTCTGTGCAGAAGCAAATGCCTTCCCGCCCAACTTGCTAGATACATTCACTGCGCAAGAGCCTTCAACAGCGCCTTTTCATCCTTCGGCACAAATCGAACCTTGTACTTTTGAGGAATAGCCACCAAACTAGTCGGATCTGAGTTACCCCGAAGAGGATGACAGTCTGTTTTATCATGAGATTCCAGACGGAAGCTGTTCAAGGTCCGGATGAAGACGAGGTAGAGCTCGCGATTGGCTAGCAGCGAACCGGCGCACATTCGATAGCCCATACCGTACGTAAAAAGAGGTGCGTCGGGCTGCTCGAGCCAGCGCTCGGGACGGAACTCATCCGGGTCAGTCCACACGTCGGGGTCTATGAAGGATTAGATGTGTTGGATCTATTGCCAGATGGATATCAAGTTCGACTCACCCATGTTGCATGCCCAGGCATTCAAGAAGAAGACCGTGCCCTTGGGAATGGTGATTCCCTTGTAGGTGATATCCTTGATGGAGGTGCGAGGAAGTGCTAATCGCAGCACAGTGAAGTATCTCAGGTATATGGTTAGTTCAAGGACTATTCATAGCTCATGGCAGCGATACAACCGGGGACATACCGAAGGCATTCCTTGACCAGAGCTGCAATATACATACACTTCTGATCATCGTCAGAAGAACACATGGGATCATCCTCGCCATACATCTCCTGGATTGCCCTGGCCGCCCGATCCTGGATATCAGGACGCTGAGCCAGCAAGCCCAGACTCCACGCAACCAAAGTGGTGACAGTATCAAGACCACCCGAAAGCATGGTCAAGCTAATCGACGTCAACTCCTCACTGTTCAGCTTCGCCTCTTTATCCAGAATAACATTAGCCTGGATACAAGGCTTATGTGTCCCCTTTGCCATGCGCTCATCCAAATCACTATTCAGCGCACCGAGGTACTTATCACGACGGATTCTCATCTCGGCGGCTTTCTTCGAATTGGAACTAAAGGGGTTCAACCGCAGAAGCGGGACATAATCCTGCAGGTTTCCGGTGGTGCTTCGGAACCGACTGATCTCTTCTTCCACCTCGGTGATCTCATCGAACAGGTCCTCTTCCTGCGAGGCGATGCGCACGCCCCAGTTCAGAGTCAACGCCAAACTCAAGCTCAGACGCTGGATCATGGGCATCGGGTCGACGGGTGTCTTCCCGTGGTTTCCGTATCGGTACAGCTCTTCCACGAAGGACTTTGACTCGACATCCAAGTGTGTCACGTACATGTCGACAGAGGGGCGGTTGAGGGCAGATGCAGCGCCCTTTCTACGTCTTTTCAGGGACTCACTATAGGGCGAGGTACCGATAGTCGTTCCGGCAGTATTGGAAACAATCTAGTCAAGTATGGTAAGTTTCAGTTACAAAAGGCACAACTCCTATAATCACCTTATGGAAAGTATAAGTCTCAGGCCTAGAGCTCAAAGCCTGTGCATTCTGACCGAAAAGCACCTTTGCCGATGCAGCAGAGTTGACCACGACGACGGGGATGTTCCCCAGCTGGATCTGATAAACGGCACCGTGCGTTTTCGACCAGAGGCGATACTGCTCCGCGGCATTGGTGCGGATCTGCGCCAAGTTTCCAATCAATGGCAATCCGCGAGGACCTTTCATACCCTTAACGCGGGCGGAATCACGAATGAACTCATTGAGAATGACATAGAGGACGGGGACGAGGAGGACAGCGGCGGCTAGCGAGTGGTACGGATACTCAATCACGCTGCCTTGTAGCGATGCCAGGACAGCGGCGATAGCCATGGTGCTGGTGCTGGTGCTAGATGGGATAGAATCTGTCTTGGAGGTCTGTAGAAATCATGAACATATTGTGAAACGTAACCCTAGGCTACGGGATATATAAGTAGGGTGTCATAGGCCTAAGCGTCGAGGCTTCCATTGAATGGAACATTTCCGTGTTGTCAGGGTCGTTCAAGCCGTGATCGTAACCTAGTGCTTTCTTACCCCACATTACCCCAGGTCTTCCAAGTCGTGTCCCGCCAGTCTATGCACTGCGGCGATGTGCTCAACCGAGGGCATTCCGCACTCCGGAATTCTTCCGCTTGACGGGGTTGAAGGTATAATTTGTACTGCATTGATCTAAGTGGACCAAATGTGCGGAGTATGTTAACTAGTTATAGTTACATCTTCTACTTTATTTGGTTGTTTGAGTCGGTGATTTCATGTGTTTTTAGGGTTCGCGTCGCTCTTCTATGGTATTTTGCTTCTTTTATATATTTCTCAATTTGATGGTCTTTCAAGCCTTGGCATTTGTGTTGAATATGACATATAACATAAACTGGGTTTAGGTAGATCGTGGTATAATGCCCCTATTTGAGATATCCACCAGCAACAGAAGGATCTCTTTGCCAAATTAGGTTTTAAGGGGTGCTTTTTCCTAAGAATTAGGGAATCCTTCTGTCAGATTTTGAATAACTACATAGCACTTATGATTTTTTATAGTACGGGTATGATATCATGGGATACCATTGTCGCATAAGGGACTAGTGAAGATCATATCCACTCGCGCAAGGACTCCCTTCTCTTTTTTTAAACACCTTCTAGAAAGAAGAGCCTCAATTGGTAAGAATGATTTCACAACCGAAGATTCCATGGTGGGGCTACTGCATATCTTGGAAGAAAGATGACATTTTTGACCAAAACCGGAATCCAACCTGCAGGGATTGGCAGTGGGGCCAAGGATAAGAACAAGGATAAAGATATGTATGCACAGGGGGAATTGAGCAATCCCAGCAAGTGGAGTAGATCCAAACAAGGTGTTCATAACGGGGGGCCCCTGGGCTCCGTGGGCCGGATGGGGCAAGGCAAGATGGCTGTCTGTGACTGGGTGGATGTCCATGGAGCTCTCAGTCAGGTGGCCACGAAGAGATTGATCAAGGTCCAGACCCATTGAGACAGATCTGCAGTCCCGGGCATCAACGATGAAATGTAGAATCGGCTTCCCGACGCGGTTGGTATCATATTGATTGTCGTCCTTGGGGTTAGGATTGAGCGCAAGTTGGAAGCTGTCCAGGTGGAATTCGGGAAATTTCTTCGCGTCATGTGTCGTCGAAAACCGGACGGAGTTCCCGAGCCAATTGGTGTGGAAATGAGGAAAGAAGAGGTAGGTATAGCCCAATCCCCACTGTCGCGCTGCTCCAATGGTGAGCTGTCCTGCTGCCATGACGCAGAGCTTTGTTGTACTCGTGACACCCCTGTATTCATAGTGGAAGGTGTAGCGATCAAGTATTCGATACTCTGTACCTTGGAGATTGTCGCAAATCTTGCCTTTCATAGAGGTGCTGTTGTTGACAGGTTTATTATATCAAGTTCGTCCAAAAAAAAAAAAAGAGGGAATTCTCATAGCTGTGGTCTTTTCTCCCGCCCTTCGCCTCTCCCCTTCAGTTCTTCCTCTCCCACTTCTCTTCCTCTCCTCCCCCCCCCCAATCTTCTCCTCTATTCCTCCGATCTCCCTCTTCCGGCGCTTATTCTTGTAAAGCAAGTATCCCGGATATTTGAACATTTGACCACATTACATCACCGTACATCGGAATAATCGCAGATAATGGCCGCTCGGCACTCGCGCAAGTTTTTGCGACCTCTCCTCTACACATCGGCGGCCGCCGCCGCAGGAGCAGGTGTTATCTACATTTCTTACCGTCCGCGAAATATTCCAGGCCTCGAAGCCCCTGCCGTTCCTCCGCCAGGTTACTACAAAGGCAAGCTGGTCCCGCCCAGTTTCCCTTCCATCAAGTCTCGCCTCGAACAGATTGAGGACCTCAAGCGCAGTGAGGAGGAGGAGGAATATGATCTGCTTGTCATTGGTGCCGGAGCCACTGGAGCCGGTATCGCATTAGATGCCGCCACACGAGGCCTGAAGGTCGCGGTGGTGGAGAGAGATGATTTCAGTTCGGGTACTAGTAGTAAGAGTACCAAGCTGGTACACGGTGGTGTCCGTTACCTTGAAAAGGCCGTGTGGGAGTTGGACTACAACCAGTGAGATTGTCCTTTCTTCCTCGGAAAGAGATGAGGTCGGAATGACCGCATCCCCGCGCATCCCTTCTAACAATCGCATCGCAGATATGCGCTAGTCAAGGAGGCTCTCAGAGAGCGCAAGTACTTCCTAAACACAGCTCCCCATCTGTCATCATGGCTGCCAATCATGGTGCCTGTTCAGAAATGGTGGCAGGCTCCGTATTTCTGGGCTGGCACCAAGGCCTATGACTTCTTGGCTGGTTCCGAGGGCATTGAGACCTCGTACTTCCTCACCAAGAGTAAGGCCATTGATGCGTTCCCCATGCTGAAGCGTGACAACATCATTGGAGCAATGGTGTACTATGGTGAGTAGCCAACACGGACCCCGCAAATGATCTAGGCTAATTCCCGATCAGATGGTGCTCACAACGACTCCCGCATGAACGTCTCCCTCGCTATGACCGCTGCGCTCTACGGTACCACTGTCGTGAACCACTTGGAGGTCACCGGACTGAACAAGGATGCATCCGGCAGGCTGTGCGGTGCGCGCGCCAAGGACATCGTCGCAGAGAAGAACGGCGAGGTCGCCAAGGAGTTCAACATTCGCGCCAAGGGTGTCATCAACGCCACTGGTCCCTTCTCTGATTCCATCCGCAAGATGGATGAGCCCAATGTCAAGGAGATTGTGGCCCCCAGTGCTGGTGTTCACATCATCCTGCCCGGTTACTTCAGCCCCTCAAACATGGGTCTCATTGACCCTTCCACCTCGGATGGACGTGTGATTTTCTTCCTGCCGTGGCAGGGTAACACCATCGCCGGTACCACTGACCAGCCCTGTGAGATTGAGGCTCAGCCCCAGCCCACTGAGAAGGATATAAACTGGATTCTTTCGGAGATTCGTGGCTACATCGCCCCCGATATCACCGTCGACCGAAGCGACGTCCTTGCTGCCTGGTCTGGCATCCGTCCCTTGGTGCGCGATCCCAAGGTGAAGAACTCGGAGGCTCTCGTCCGCAACCACCTGGTGACCGTCTCTCAGTCTGGACTGTTGACTTGCGCCGGTGGTAAGTGGACTACTTACCGCCAGATGGCCGAGGAGGCCGTGGACGAGGCAGTCAAATCGTTCAAGCTCAAGCCCCGCCAGCTCAACAGCCTTCCCGACATCAGTGGTGTCGGAGGCAGTGATCTGGTTGCTGACGGTGCCGTTCTCGACGGTAGCTGCCAGACCCACCAGGTGCGCCTCATTGGTGCCCACGGTTACTCCAAGACCCTCTTCATCAACCTTATCCAGCACTTCGGTCTCGAGACCGATGTGGCCAAGCACCTCACCGAGTCGTACGGTGATCGCTCATGGCAGGTCGCTGCCTTGTCTTCCCCTACCAGCGAACGTTTCCCCGTGCGCGGCTGCCGTATCTCCCCTATGTACCCCTTCGTTGATGGTGAGATTCGCTACGCCGTTCGTCACGAGTATGCCCAGACTGCCGTCGACGTGATTGCCCGTCGCACTCGTCTGGCTTTCCTGAACGCCGAGGCCGCCCTTGAATCCCTCCCCACTGTGATTGACACAATGGCCGAGGAGTTGAAGTGGACCAACGCCCGTAAGGATCTCGAGTGGAAGGATTCCTTGACTTTCCTTTCATCCATGGGTCTGCCTAAGAGCTTCATGGGCCTGTCGCGTCATGATGTCCAGAATGGCCGTGTTACGCAGGTTGATGATGCCGAGCGTGCGACTTTCTCCCGTAAAGGTATGTTTGTAACAAACATTTCGATGAACCACAGTGCTGACCATTCTAGAACCCCCCGCGGATATGATTGAGAGTGACGTTCGTGCTACTATTGAACCCCCTGCCGCAACACCCGCGCTCGGCTAGACGTGTGGCATATATAGACCGGCTTGTATAAATAGAAGCGTTCCTTTTTTTTGTTCCAATATTGACACTATTTAACCAGGGACTTTGGAAAAAGACCCTCAATCCAAGACCTTAAGATGACGCTTTCCAAAAACACGCGCATTCACATTCGGAAAGTGCCACCCTGAGCTTGCTCGTAGTTTCAATTTCTTCAATTCCCTCATTTCTCTCCATTTCTCTATATCTTGTCCACACTCACACACCATGAATACCAGTCAGTCTGATATTGACCTCCAGTCGCTGCGCTCTGTGAAGCGCAAGTTGGACCCGGAGAACGATTCTGTTGTACCAAAGCCAGATCTGGAGGAGTCCGATCCCTTTGGAGACGAAAGCCAATCTGGCGTGAAGTACAAGACCATGGCGTGGTGGTAAGTGTTTCCTTTTCCACAGGCAGGATGAAGCTCATCCTTTCAATAGGCAAGCCGGCATGAGTAAGTCAATGTCTTACATATTGCCCAGCTTTCTCTAACAAACCGGTCAGTCATGATCGCAGAAACCATCTCGCTTGGTATTCTCGCGCTGCCCAAAGCGCTTGCTGTTCTAGGTCTTGTTCCGTACATTCTCCTCCCCGCTGGCTGCAAAGGCCGATGAGCTAACCTGTTTGTTCAGCGGCATCCTAACCATCCTCGGGGTTGGGATCATCTCGACGTATACCGCATATACCATCGGGCGATTCAAATGCCGCCATGTCCAAGTGCACAGTATGGCTGATGCTGGTGATCTTCTGATGGGAAGGGTTGGACGGACTACACTGGATGTGGCCCAGCTCGTCTTTTTTGTGTTGGTCATGGGAAGCCATATCCTCACTTTTTCCATCATGATGAACGTTCTCACCGAACATTCTTCCTGCACCATCGTATTTTCGGTTGTCGGTCTACTCGCCTCGTTCATGTTGACCCTTCCACGGCGACTTGAGAGGCTTTCTCACATCTCCTCCGTGAGCTTTGTGAGTATCGTCGGAGCGGTTCTTACTGGTATGATTGGAGTCACCCTTGTCAAACAAGGCCCAGTGGAGGTCCCAGCTTTTTCGCCTCCGCCCAAAGTGCATGATGCGTGCCTTGCTATTGCAAACATAATATTTGCGTACGCAGGACATGTTGCATTCTTTACCCTTTTCTCCGAGCTCAAAGAGCTCAAGGACTTCCCAAAGGCTCTGGCGCTTTTGCAGATGAGTGAAATGGTCTTGTACACAGTGGCTTCTATTATGATATATGCCTATGTTGGGCCAACTGTCAACTCACCTGCTCTCAATTCTTCGGGACAATTGTTTCGCAAGATTTCCTATGCAATCGCACTACCTACGGTACGTATCTTTTTCCGTGTACTTCTTTTGGATATGAGCTTAACCAATGCACAGATCCTGATCGGGGGTGTGGTGAACGCCCATGTTGCCGTCAAGTTCATTTACGTTCGTGTCTTCCGGGGGACCAACTCGATGCATACCCAGTCATTTAGGGCGCGGGTAGTTTGGACTGTTACATGTGCGGGGCTTTGGATCTTGTCGTGGATCATCGCCGAGGCAATACCGGTTTTCAACGATGTACTAGGGCTTGCGGTGTGTACTACCTGTCCCTGACCCCACCTGCAGCGAGTACTAATCATTCCAACCAGAGTTCCTTATTTGCTAGCTGGTTTTCATTCGGTCTACCTGGGCTATTCTGGCTCTATCTGAACCGAACTTGTTGGTACATGACCTGGCGACAGAGGGCATTGTTTGGCTTCAATCTTTTTCTGGTGTTTCTTGGATTTGTCATTGTAAGTTGAGCTCTACTGTGGTTTGAAGGGTCGAGTTAACCTACGCCACCAGTGCATTGTCGGGTTGTACTCGTCTATTCGGTCGATCTTTAACAACCTTCGCGAGGGTGTCGGAGGAGGTAGCTTCTCATGTGCCGACAATTCCCTCTATTGAGGCAGTCTTACGACAAAGAAAATGATTTGGATGGGGGTGGGTAGGTTAGGTTTGGAAATGGGCAATTACACTCGGGTCACAGCATTAACGAAGCACGAAGAACATACGACGCAGAGAACTATCCAGCTACATGTATAGAATAAATTGAGTTCTCTTGCACAGTTTCACAGATGTAGGCGATATGCAAGGAGCCGAGATTTTGCGGCTGCTACCCTTCAACGGCTAAGTGGCATGTGTTAGATCTCACAGGGGATCCTTGTCCTCCCGATCGGATCAAAGGCAGTTTCAGGATTTCAGGGAAGACAAATGACATCTTTTATGCAGGAGATAGCATAACTATCCATCCAGCTGTCCTTTTCGGAGAATCAGGCCATACCTAAAGTTAGAGATAGCACGGTGTACTCCGTAGTTAGCTGGTTGCTATATTTCCTCGGCCGGGAGGTGTACATCACGTGATCGGTTTCGAATCATTTAGGGTTTACGTCACGTTGTTATATAACTCCAACTAACATTGTCGTGTTTATCTATTCCGGCCTTGCAGCCCAGATCATCCGATGAAAAGCCGAGGCTGTCCAGGGGCGTACTCCATCCAGCACACAAAACGAGAGTTAAGGATCAAAATAGGGGGGGGGGGGGGCAAATTGGAAAATTGCCAAAATAAGAAGGAAGTTTGGGGATTTTGTTTGTGAAAAAAAAAACATAAAAGAAATTAACAAAAAACATAACGGGCCCCTTAAAACAAAATTA